AGCGATGCATACTGTGCAGAGACTCATCATTATTACAACGGCAGATTTGATGGTACTTTTCTTCCCGGAAGCGAATGAACTGACTTAAAGAATCTCGCAACGTACCACAGTATTGAACATCTAACCTAGCAATAATAACGTCGGTCGATAAATAATTCCGGCGAGAGCTACATTGGCCTGCGATAGTAGAATTAAAAATAAATGGAGTCGATTTATGAAACTCGGCGATTAATATCAAGTCTAACGAATCCAACATTTTTTCCTTGAAATTGGAATCCAATTTCAAGTCGATAGCTGATAGGCAATCAAAGCCATAATAACCACTACAAAATTGGCGTTTCTTTCCATCGACCATTGATTATTACGTAGCAAGCTGGAGTTGATTAGCAAACCATTACCTACTGTATATTGTAGTGGATTAATAATCGCTAGTCGTATCGACTGCAAGACCAGAACAAGTTTTGCAGGCCGTAGAAATAGGCAAGGAATTAGCTATAGTAACAGATAGGAGAGCGTTGGCTTGAAACGGCACTTACTAATAATTTGCTACTGAATCCAGTACTAGTGTTATACGGAAATACTTATATATCTTCAAAGTAGGGTAGTAGGTGTGCAGATAATTAAGAATCATTATTACGATTAGGTTGAGGCATTTATCCACCATTATGCTCATCACAAGAATTTATGTTTTATTTGTCTAATAAAAGAGAGTAGATCGGTATAACATCGACATATTACGATTCAAGAATGCAAAATCATTGCTATCAATATACGACATAATCATCAAGTGAAAGTGTTAGAATTCAAAAGAATATTAAACAGCTTTGAAAATGGAAGGAAACCGTAATGATAACCCTAACTTTTTATTTACATATTATTTTCACTAAAAATTGTAGTACTGTACCAGTTTACAAATAGCTGGACTTTTATCCTAGATTTGCTATAGTAAGTATGTAATCTAAGGCGATAATATACTATCAAACAAGACTAAGGTTCCGGAGGAGGTGGCGGAGGTGGTGGTGGTGCCTGTTGCTATAGAGTAAGTACAGTAAATTCACACATCAGAAGTTTCAACATGTCAGTTTAATGACAAATAATAGTTGTAATAATCTTTTACCCATGGAGCGGTACCAGGAGGTGGAGGAGCAGTGACATTTTTTGAGTCAAATCCAGGCGCTGCAGCACCAGGTTGAAGCCAAGGCGCACCACCTGGATTAGGAACATTGGCTAGAATTAAATTAAAAGAGTAACCTCTAAGTATTTAATTAAAGTTATAATTGTCCAATAACTACGATTTATAGAGGTATGGTATTATTAAATTTAGAAACAGTGATGATAAAATTCAATGCGGTTGTAGCAAAAACTTAAAAAGATTTCATCTAATCTTCATAAATCAGCATCTGAACCTTGTTGCCAAGGAGCTGATGGTACAGCCGATGGATTTGTGTCCGAAGCAGCTAAACCAGGAGGAGGGGGGTTACCGCTTGGTACTGAAGAGAATAATGTACCGTATATTATTTTTATTTGATAAAGACAATAAATAAGTAAACGATTATGTAGCAAATGTTGATCTACCTGATGGACCATGTGGTAAAGGTTGTTGCATTGGTGGATATCCCCAAGGTTGATAACCACCCCACGTAGGTTGAGGCATCATCGGATATCCATACGGAGGGAAAGCACCAAAACCGGGAGGACCAGGGGCCTAAGAAAAAGGTTGTAGTTATGATTATATTAGAGAAAATATTCTTAAAATGGATAATATCGTGTCATATTAATATGTCTATATTATGAGAAAGAATTGTACCATAGGCATATTTGTCATAGGCATCCCTGAAGCTGGAGGCATTGGATGAGGACCACCACTAATGGGTACAGATGTCGGAGCAGGAGCAGGAGCAGGAGCTGGAGGTGCAGGAACTGCTGTGGTAGAAGTAGTAGTTGCAATAGTAGCAGTTGTGATTACGGTATTAAGATTAGTAGCAGGAGTAGATGTCGCTGCACTAGTAGTATCTGGTTTCTTAGTAATTTCTTCAGGGGCAGAGCCTTCACCCAGTTCGGCCATCAATGATAGGTACTGTGATAATCAATTACCATCAAGTTACGCCTTTCATTAGTGGTTAAGTTGGATATCATTGCAAGTAAACTAATAACTACCAAATCGAGAGTATCACTACTTCAACAGATGGCCAATGTAACTATAATAATCGAGTACGTCACTAAACTTAAAGGTACCCATACCTCATTATCCATTTTTTCTCTATCGATAACAGGTTCTACTGGCTCGTTACCACCTTCTTCGTTACTTCTAATTAAATCAGTAAGGAAGTGTAACATATCTAGAATATCGTGTAATATATTCTTTATAGAATAATAAAACATATTTATTTCTTACTTTTGTTTACAATCAGTTGCTACATGGCCAATACCACCGCATATGGTACATGCGATAGTACTTGTAAGATTTCGCTGCTCTGGGCATTCCCAGTAACGATGCCCAGTGGCTCCACAATTTCGACATCTATGTTGAATCATAAATAGAGTCAGGGATAATCAAACAATAAGTTTAGCTTGTAAGAAGTTATGCATACCTATTCAAATCTTCTTCTCTCAGTGTGCCATTTAATTGAGCTAGTTCACGAAGTTGCATACGTTTAGATCA